GATGTGCCCTATAGTACCCATGGGAGCATCCACGGGGGCAGCTGCCCCCCCCCCAGCCCCTGTGCCCACCTTGGGGTCCCGGGAGTGCTCCGGGCACAGCACCAGCCCCCCCTCAGACCCCCTTTGCCCCCCGTACCCACCTTGGGGTCCCGGGAGTGCTCCGGGCACAGCACCTGCAGCCTCTTGCAGTAGGTTTTGCTCTGGGGGTTGTAAACGTCGCAGAACAGGCGGGTGGCCCTGGGGGGACACACGGGGGGTGACAGGGGGGCACACGGGGTGTTTGGGGGAACCCCTTCCAGGCAGCCATAACTGCCCTTCACCTGCCCAGGGGCCTGGGACCCCCCTCCCCTTCCTTCCCCGCCCCTCCCCACTCACCCCTCGATGCGGGTGGGGTACATGGACCCGAAGGACGTTTGGCTTTCGTACTGCAACAGAGTGGGGGGGTCAGGGGGGTGCAGAGGTGGGACCCCCGAGACCCCCTGGGGCCCTACGGACCCCCAGGGGAAACCCCAGCCCTTATAGGGACTCACAGACCCCATGGAACCCACCCAGAGCCCCCCAAGCAGGGTTCCTCTGGCCCCCCCAGCCTTCCTGGAGACCCTCCATGGGGTCCCCGTGGCTCCCCAGCTGCTACAGACCCCCAAGCAGGTCCCTACAGCCCCCCCAGGGGACACCATGACCCCTATAGAGGCCCCCCGAGACTCCTCCGTGGGGTCCCCACGGGTCCCCCACCGTCCCCCAAAGCCCCTCCAGAGCCCAAGAACGGGATCCCTGTGGCCTCTGCAGGATCCAGGGGTGGTGCTGACCCTGGGGGGCTCCCAAAGGGTCCCCCAAGAGCCCATGGAGCCCCCAGGGTCCCGTACATCCCATGGATCCCACGGATCCCATGGTTGATCCCACAGATCCCAGGAACCCACAGGAGCCCAGAGGTTGTTGTGGCTCCCCCAGGCTCCCCCCAGACCCCATGGATCCCCCAGACCCCCCAGATCCCGGGATACCTTGGCGTAGCAGCGCTCCATGTGCCGCAGGGCCACCTTGGGGTTGATGGGGTGGCCGCAGGAGACACAGAAGATCTGCAGGTCCGTGTCCTCACTGTCCCCCTCTGTGCTCTGGGGGGACACGGGGGAGCTCAGGGGGCTTCCACAGGGATTGGGGGGGACACCCAGGGTTAAGGGGTTCAAGGACCACCAGGGGTTACTGGGTTTGGGGGTGACCCAGGTGTCCATGGGGAACCGGGGGGGGAATCAGGGAGGACCCAGGATGGGGGATTAAAGGGTTTGGGGGGTCTCCAAGCCTCCAGGAGGTGTGTGTTGGTGTTCAGGGCTCCCTGGGGAGGTTTGGGGGTCCCTGGGTGCCCCCACCTCCTCATCCTTGGGGGGGCGAGTGCCCCTTGAGCTCATGGAAGGGGTTTGGGGATCCTGGGGGCGTTTTGGGGTTCAGAGGGACTTTGGGGGTTCCCCCTCTCCTCGTCCTCATGGGGCGATGAGCCCCTGGAGCTCGTGGGAGGGGATTGGGGGTCCCAGGGGGTTTTGGGATTCAGGGGGTGTTTGGGGGATGCCAGGGGGGTTCTGGGGGGTTTTGGGGGGTCCCCACCTCCTCATCCTCATGGAGCGGGTGCCCCTTGGTGCGGGCAATGAGCCCCTCAAGCTCGTGGGAGGGGTTTGGGGGTCCCAGGAGGTTTTGGGATTCAGGGGGTGTTTGGGGAATCCCAGGGGGATCCTGGGGGGTTTTGGGGGGTCCCCACCTCCTCGTCCTCGCGGGGCGGGTGCCCCTTGGCACGGGCGATGAGCCCCTCGAGCTCGTGGAAGCGCCGCTCCATCTCCTGCAGCCGCAGCCGCGCCTGGTGCTGCTCCCGCCGGATCCGCTCCAGGAGCCGCTTCCCGTGTTCCTCGGCCACGCACGGGCTCTGCTGCCACTGCTGGATCCGCTGCGGCAGGATCTCGTAGATCCGGCTGGGAATGGGGGGAATGGGGTTAATGGGCACCCCAGAACCCCCGGGATCTCTGGGATCCACTGCTGGACCCGCTCCGGCGGGATCTTGTAGATCCGGCTGGGAATGGGGGGGGATGGGGTTAAGGGGCACTCCGGGATTGAGGGTGGGATCCACCCTGGGAATGGGGGCGGGATCCACCCTGGGAATGGGGGCGGGATCCATCCCAGGATCCTGGGGGGGGGATGGGGTTAACGGGCACTGCGGGATTGAGGGTGGGATCCACCCTGGGAATGGGGGTAGGATCCATCCCAGGATCCTGGGGGGAGGATCTCACTGGGACCTGGGGAGGAGGCACGGGGGGAACCGGCCCCCTGGACCCAGAGGGGCTCTGCTCTGTATCAGCCCATGCAGCTTGTTACTGCTCTGTACTGGTTTATACTGGTCTATACCGGTTTATACTGGTCTGTAATCACCCGCAGCAATCTGTACTGGTCTGTACCAGTTTCTGTCAGTCTACACAGGTCATTGCTTGTTGGAACGAGTTTATATGGGTCTATACATGTCATTACTGGTCTGTACCTCCCAGCACCTATCTGTACTGGTTTGTACTGGTCTGCATCTATCTGTACTGGTTTGTACTGGTGTGTACCTATCTGTACTGGTTTGTACTGGTCTGTATCTATCCGTACTGGTTTGTACTGGTGTGTACCTGTCTCTACTAGTTTGTATTGGTGTGTACCTGTCTGTACTGGTTTGTACTGGTGTGTACATATCTGTACTGGTTTGTACTGGTCTGTGTTATCTGTACTGGTTTGTACTGGTCTGTATCTATCTGTACTGGTTTGTACTGGTCTGTACCTATCCGTACTGGTTTGTATTGATCTGCACCTATCTGTACTGGTTTGTACTGGTCTGTATCTATCTGTACTGGTTTGTATTGGTGTGTACCTATCTGTACTGGTTTGTACTGGTCTGTACCTATCTGTACTGGTTTGTACTGGTCTGTACCTATCTGTACTGGTCTGTACCTATCCGTACTGGCCTATACCAGTCTGTAGTGGTCTGTACCTATCTGCACTGGTTGGTATTGGTGTGTACCTGTCTGTACTGGTTTGTACTGGTCTGTACCTATCTGTACTGGTTTGTACTGGTCTGTACCTACCTGTACTGGTTTGTACTGGTCTGTACCTATCTGTACTGGTCTGTACTTATTTGTACTGGTTTGTACTGGTCTGTACCTATCTGTGCTGGTTTGTATTGATCTGCACCTATCTGTACTGGTCTGTACTTATTTGTGCTGGTTTGTACTGGTCTGTACCTATCCGTACTGGTTTGTACCTATCTGTACTGGTTTGTACTGGTCTGTACCTATCCGTACTGGCCTATACCAGTCTGTACTGGTCCGTACTGGCAGGTACTCACTTGGCAGCCAGTTTGATGCCGCAGGCCTCGCTGCAGTACTTGGAGGGGGGCCGGGCAGGGCGGGTGCAGCCGGGCCCCAGGCACTGGCCCAGCCCCGCGGGGTCCCGGGCGTCGGCGCGTTCGGGGTGTCCCCGGCGCTCCCGGTGCCGGGCGCGCTGCCGGTGCCGCTTGTACCGCTCCTCCTTCTGCACCAGCGACCACCAGTCAGCACCAGTAACCACCAGTCGCAGCCCAGCGACCGCCCACCAACCGCCCACAGCCCTCCTGGTGCCCCTTCCAGTAACCTCTGGAGCCCCCCAGTAACCTCTGGAGCCTCCCAGTAAGCCTTAAGGACCCCCCGCACCTCCCAAGGGCCCTCCCAGTGCCCACCAGCCTCTGTCCAGAGCCCTCCCAGTTGCCCCCAGTGCCCCCCCCACCTTCTTGTCTGACTTCTTCTCGCGGCGCTTGACGTGTTTGACCTTCACGGCGCGTTTGCGCAGGACGGGGTCGAGGAACGGGGCGTCCTCGGCGTCGCTGAGCCAGGGCTGTGCGGGATCGGGGACGCGTCGGGGCGGGACCAGGGGCACGGGGGGGACATGCCAGGACGTGCCCCAACACGCCCTGACACGCCTCGGAGCGCGGCCCACGCGGGGACATGCAAGGACATGCGGGACACGCCCCGACACGCCAGGACATGCCCTGACACGGGGGCACAGCGACGCTCCGACACGCCAGGACACGCCTGGTCACGTCCAGGGCACGGCCCAGCACAGGGACACGTGGGGAGACGCAGCCCAACATGGACTGAGAACACGGCGGGTGCACCAACACATCCTCACACGCTCGGGGCACCCCCGACACCCAAAATCCCCCCCGACGCACAAAACCAGGCCTTGACAGGCAAAAACACCCCCTGACACA